GAAAGAGTTAGATCAGATGGCTTGTAATATCACTTCTAAAAATCTCTGATCCTACAGTCTGCCTAATGTGGACTCACTTCCTTTTTGTAAAGTAGGATTTCTTAGGAAAAAATTACTAAATTAGCCATAACATTTTGTTACCACATTATGGCCTGTTCTCTTAATACACTGTTATATTTTAAATTGGTCTTCCCAAGACAGGAAGTGTTCTCTAAACTTTATTTTACACATTGCAGGTCAATAGATGAATTCACATTCAGGTCAAATTATTTTAATGTGAATTTTAAGGTACTGTCCAGAAAGTTGAACTGAAATTTTGTGTCAGCTATTGCTTGAAGTAGGTAAGCCATCAGCTGGAACTTGGACGTCTTTCAGTTATACAGGAATTTATATTTATTGTAACAGAATTTGACACATGCTGTATTTTCAAGTTGATCATATAAAATACAATTACATTTTTATATCTAATTTTTCTAGCTGTTGAAGCTTATGGGTTAACAGAATGAAGAATGGATTAACCAAGCAGGGGACAGATGATTGACTTATCCCTAAGAAACTGGCAGTAGACTGTTTCTAGTGAGTTGAATGAAATTCAGAGTTGTCATGTGACCAGGAAGGATAATCTCTTGAAGCTGTTTCACTTCAACTGCTTTTTCTGTCTGCTCTTTACCCAGGAGTTACTGTACATAGATCCTCCTTATCTAGGTTCTGGTGTCCTTAAAGGGCACTCACTAAACACTGTAGCCACTTTATATCATTGGATTGATATTCTTTAGGAGTAGATCTGAGTTCTTCGGCGATGTAATAGCCTTAGATGAAATTAGGACACTTGTAGGAAGGATTATGTTTAATATAAGTTTAGGGGAATTGCAACTTCCTTTTTCCTGGTTTGAAAAAGTTGTACAGCATAAGTCAGCCAAGAATAATATTACTTATGTTTAAAATATTTAAAAGTTCAAATGTTGGTTTATGTTAAATGTTTAAAAGTTCGCATCTCCCCACATCGGGAGTGCTTCACTGTCTACCCTAAAGTGGAGTCCTGTGTGTCCCATTTGTAGAAAACTTTTAGTTGCATATATAGTTTTCTGAGAGAATTACACGTTTGTAGATCATAATATAACAATTGCTTACATATATATGTTGCACTTAAAGACGTTTTCTTTGCAACAACCCTGTGTAGTAGATAATGCAAGTAATATTATCACCCCTTTTATTAGGGCTGTTTACTCATGGTTGCAGGAAATGGGGTGGGATTTAAACTCATCTCATAACTCTAGGTCCAACATTCTTATCTGCCTATCTGTGAAGATTATGGTGGAAAAACATTCAGACTTAAATAGGCTACAGCATATTACAAGCAGTGATTTGCACAAAAAAAAGTATTATAAAAAATATTATCCAGGAAATATATGATCAGAAATGAAAATGGGCCAATAATGAATTAAAAGCAATGGATAATAAGTGATGGACAGCTTGAATGCTGATGGTTCCTATAGAATGATAAAATACCAAGAAAAGACCTCCATTCTTTGGGGTAAATCCTATACAGAGAATTGGAATTAATCAAGCACACTTCTAAAGTATTTGTGAATCTAAGTTTTTGCTGTTAATTTGCATATCAAGTACATCAAAATCTAATAACTTTAAGTCTTCCTAAAGAGCCTTTTTTTTTATAATCCCTCAAAAGAAATACAAAAAACAGTATTATGATCATATTTTTTTTCATTCTGTTCTCCTGGGCTGTCTGTTCACCCAGTTCCCCACCTCAAGCATTTAATTATAGTACAATTATTTAGTGTACTTTGACATCAGTACTCTTATTTATACATGCCAAAATATAGTTTGTACTTATTTGACCATGATAATATTACACACATTTGATTCAACCTGATCTTTTTGTTCCAAGGCATGAACACCATATATTTCCTCACTCTGAATAGTTGTTTGATTTTTACTGAATTGAATTGTCTTTTTAGGTTTAATATTTGTGGGATTTGTTATTCTTTAATATAGCATTATTTCCCTATTAAATTCAGTACAATTTGTGTGTCTTCATTATGTTCTTCACTGTATTTGGCATTTAGAAAAATCCAGGTGTATGAAATAATCCAGTAATTATGTTTGCATCTAATTTAGCACACATGCTGCATAGAGCTGTCACTTTTTTTATTTCTTGATTTCCCACGTATTTTTTTTTTCAAATTTTCCACTTAATGACCATCATCTTCCCATATATCTTAGGAATATTTAACAGGGACAGGAAATGCAAAATTGAGTTGGGACAAAAACAAATCTTCATTTCCTTTATAGGTTATCATACTGTTAAATTCTGTTTGTTATAATATGAGGGAAAAATTGGCTAGAGAATATGAGAATAAATATTCAGTAAGCTTATTATATGCTTCAGAGACATTGAGAAGCAACAGACGTTTTGGTCTTATTCTTTACTTCACAAAAATCCTGAATTAGATTATTTCTCTCATTTTTTTTGAATGGTTTTAAATTCTACTATCACTGGCTTTTCAAATATTGGCAACATTTGTCAGAACTTTTGAGCACCATTTTGCTGAAATAGCTTTGTTGATTTTATGATGATAGTGAAAATAACAATGTTGTTTTCAGGATTTATGTCCAGATTTTAAGGTTCAATAAAATTTATGCTAAAGTGAAATTTTGATAATAGTGTAAAACAGTCTTGCCTAATAGGTCACCAATTTGACAAAATTATTTTTAGGCCATTAAGAATGATTAAAGTAGTAGCTTTTTCACTATAGAGATTACTTAATGGCATGCAGGAATTTTTTTTTAAGTACAGACAAATCTTCTAGTAAGAGGTTGCTCATCATAGTAGATGGGGAATCAAAAGATGCTTGATTTTAATTTCTGCTTTATCACATCCAGTTCTGAGATTTAATAGGCATATTGGCTGACTGGAAAACATTCAGGAGAAAGTTACTAAGGATGGTAGGGGTTCTGTAAATCGTATCATAAAAACAGTTGAGGGAACTGGGGATGTTAATAATAGCAGCTGGCATTTTGCATAATACTTTATGGTTTATAAAACTTTTGCATACATTCTTATATTCTGTCCTCTACTCAACCCTCTGTGACTGGAAAGCCCCAACATAACTTTCCAGCTTAATTATACATTACACCTTTTCCACTGCTCTGTAGTCTAGACTTCGTGCTATTCTTCACTGTCTGTTATCCATATCTGGGATTTACCCTATCCTCATATCTGCCTTTTAATGGCCATTGTTTCTTTGAAATATCAGGTACAAGCACTACTTCTTTAAGAGGCCTTTCCTGATTCCCCTGCCCCCTTCAGTTACTAGTACCCTCCCCCTCAAAAAAATTATCTGGTAATTTTTTTGTGTTATAAGCACATGTTGTTTCCATTAATGAATTGTAAACTCCTTGAGAATAGGAGCTCTTTCATTTTTTTCCTTTGTATCCCTGGCTTCTGTTATAAATCTGGCACGTAGTAGGCACATAAATGCGGTTTAATTGATTATCCCCATTTTATAGATGAGAAGACTGAGTCTTAGGGAAATTAAGTGATGTGCCCAATATCACACAGGTAGTAAGTGACACAACTGGGATTTGCCCCAGGTCTTAAGATACCAAATCCACTCTCTTTTACACTGTAGCACAACTGCTTCTATGGTTTCACAAGGAGACTGAAGCATGGTAGATGTATTACCAAGTATTTGTTATAGACCTGCTATGAATGAATGGATGAATTCAGCCCAGAGAGAGGGTCAAATGAGCAGAGTGATTACAGCTGAGAGACTAATTAGATTTATTAAACGTAATTTCAGAGTACAGAACTACTGCCAATAGGTAGAAGTTATGAAGAGGTATATCTCCCCTCACTATAAAAATGAACTTTCTAACAATTGTTGGAAGGAATTGTCAAATATGATCTCCCAAAGTAAGGAGGTCTCCTTCACTGGATATATTCAAACAGAGGCTGGAATATTCATCTGTTAGTTATCTTTTACAGTAGTTCCCAACTTTAGGAGGGTGATTAGAATAGATTACCTATAACGTTCAATGTATACATTTTAAAACCGACCATCTTTCTGGAAACTAAAGAAGTATTTTTATTAGTAAATTTAAAATTTGCCTTACAACAAAATAATAGTTGAGAAAGGGCACTTGGCCTCTGTGTTGATTCCCATAGACCCTAGTGTACCCATATTAAAAGGATTGTCTGAATTAGCATGCTGTTACCGTATAAATGCAATGAATCATGCCACTGTTGAGATCCAGAAAATGTCATTCTGTCATAGTGTTTGCTATTCAAACAATGTCTTCACAAATCTGCAGTATAACTCCTCCAGTTTGCGATTTTTAAAGATTTGTTTTTCTTTTATTTTTTTCTGTGATAAGAAAGAAATATATCATTTGGGGTGGCCATTCTGTACATTTATAAACAGGCTTTGATTAATTTGCACTCATGTTCACTGCTTAGATCTTTCTGGAGGAAGAAACAAAGATATAATTAAGAAGTTGGTGACTTACCAGTTTGTACATAGGGCTCATTTAGAATATTACCACCAGTGATAGTATGCCAAATATCTAGGGTCATTTGGAGAAAGAGGAAGAGAAAAGGATATAGATGTATAGAAAGAGTCTGTGAAGGAGGCAGGAATTTATTTGAATGCAGCCAGTTGCCAGTATGTGGTTGTTGTTTTGGCTGACTTTCAAAAAACAGAAGAAAAACAGTTACAGTGTTAATTGTAGTTGGGTCCTAAAGTGAAAATGTTTTTGACAGTTGGAAGAATTTAAAGAGTAAGGAAGATCGGTTTAGTGTCAGCTGTGATTAGATAATCAAAGCTTTAAAATCTCATCTGTTGCTAATATAACCTAGCACTGAATAATATGGGGGTAACTCCATGTTACAGAAAGGGCATATCCCAATCACTATAGCTAAAGCCCGAATGAGCTTGCAGGTTGTCTGAGAACACGCTTGCACTGAGAGATTTTTTTGGCAGCCCTACAGGATGAGGCTCATGCTGTACAAAGCCGACATATTGAAGCGGAGAGCCCAGGCGAACATAGATGCAGACGTAGAGGCAGCTCTGCACACAATGTAGCGTCTCCTAGGATGGTTGGGCGACACCTTTCTTCAGGTATTTCATTACCCATCAGCCCCTATTAGAGCAGGAAAACGTTACACAGCAAAAAATTAGTAAATAGCATGTGCGTCTGTTAAATCAGTTTATTACATAACACTTTAGGAGCTGCAGTAGCATGGCATCCTAAGCTCTTGGCTGCGATTCAGATTTGATAAAATGGCGTCTTAGCAAAAAGAGCTGCTTGCTTAAAGATATGCTACACTGAGCAGAAAAATGAAAATATTATCTACTGCTGTTTTGTCTGTGGCTTATTATTAGTGTTTGTGAAAGTCTCCCTTATAATGTAGCAAGCTCTATCTATCCCTTTTACCCTCCCTCACCCATTTTTATTTTATGAGTGCTTAAAGATTCCTAACCTAGAAAACAAGCTCATTTTAATACATTTTCAAAGAAACCCCAGGATTATGGGTTTATTCTTTTGGATACTTTGGGGTTTTTTTTTCCCATTAAGACACTTAGTTGTGTATTTCATAACTACTTGCATTTAAATTAGTTGATAGTTTAAACATTTGTGTGGTCTGTGTCCCAATGATGGAATTTTGAATGCAAAATACTTTGTGTATCTTTACAGCCATTAATTATGATGAGCTGGCATGTTTAATTCTTTTAAAGTGAAGCCAGTTCTAATATTAATAATGTCCCTCAATACAAATAGCATTTAAATCATAGGATCATCATGTGACATTTTAAAACATTATTAAACATATTCTAGCCTGGAGTATTTGAATTATTTCTCCTGTGTAGGCTATAATGTTTTGTTCTTTCAAAAACAATTGATGGAGAGATAAAAAAAATCAAGTAATTGTCCATTTTGGTACCAGTTAAATATTCAGCATACCTATTGTCCTATTCAGAGTAAATATTGCTGGATAAGTTAAATCCATTATACTTAATCAGATAACTACTGAAAATTTTGTTTACTATATCTGTTAGTACTCTATTAAACATTTTTAATTAGAAAAATTGTCATGTTTTAACATTTCGTGAACAATTATGAGCACAGTCAAAATTCAAATTAATTTGAATTTAAATCACTTTGAAATTATATTTTATTGTATTGTCTGATTTTAGAACAAATCATTGAATAGTAGGAGGAAAAAATATAACAGCTTTCCTTTCTGGTTTTTTCAACAGTAATTTAGAAGTAAATTTGAAATTTTATGAGGAAAAATGATCTTGTAGATATGAAGACTATTAGATAATCTCTTTAGCAAAATACATTTTGTATATATAAATATTCATATTCTAAAGCAACTGTGATTTGCACAATATGTAGATCTCCCTGCCTTCTTAGATCTTGAATTTAGTATATACTTTGCTAATATAAATGTATGGTCAAAGAAATCAGCATCATTTTACACATCTTTTTATTTTATTTTCTCATTCCTTTAGATTTATTTTTTTTCACTCCATCTATAAATCAATGATATGATAAAGGAAATTTGACTTCTATTTTAAAAATATTGGAACTTCAGCATTTATTTCAAATTATGAAATATTACATAGTTGGTTAGAATAGTAATATGGTACTGAGTAGCAACTGGTTTCACCAAGAAGAATCTAATAAAAAAAAATACTGTAGTTGAACTTCGTTGTAGATCTTATATTTTGAAACTATAAATATAAATATATACATGCGTATATAAAGTGCTAACTTTTTGCTTTCTGTTTTCAAGTATTTTGAAAGCTTTTCCTGTTTTAGGCCCATTTTCTCCTTTTAGCTACTCTGGTTTTACACCTAAAGAGTATTTTGGGCAGAGTGGGGATGTAACTTATTTTTCAAGTTCTTAGCAGGAAAAGGAAGTACCTTTTAGTGGAATAAAAATAGGGAAAGAAGGAAGGAGAGAACCTCAGATAACTGAAGGAAGGACTGGAGTTATAATTGAATTGGGAGGTTGAATGAACTAGCTAAACACAAAGGGAAGAAAGATAATACGGGATTTAGCATTTCATGAAGAGAGAAAAATTGCTTGAATGAATGGAAGGAAAAACATTTTTTAAATGTTTACTTTATGTCAAGCACACAAGTGCTGGAGATATAATACAAAAGCAAAGATAGCGTCTGCCAATATGGAGATTATATTCTGGTTAAAGGAAAGAGAAAACATAATGGGAAGTGGTAGCCAGGGAGAGGGGTGTTTTAGTTTGGAAAGTTACTAGGATATTGAGTAGAGCCATAGAGGAGTAAATTGATACACTATTTCCAAGACAGGAGTTGATTTGTTTAAGGCTCTAAAATTGGAAAGGAGATGGCCAGAAAACAGGAATACCAGGAATCAGCATGAGGACTGGTGAGGAGGAGAAGTTGGGGGAGTTAAGTGAAATGTGGCCCCAAGCCTAAATATAGTAGGTGACTGAGGAAAGAAGTGTTCCAGCCATGAAAGGGTTAAGTCATCCAAAAGCCTTGTTTGAAATTGTGGCAGTAAAGGAGATTGCCAAGGGAAAATAATATCAAGAGAAAAAACTATCAGGTACAGAACCTTGGAAGATCTTGAGAGGTCTGGAAGGAAGGAAACAAATATGCTTTATGTGCTAGGCACTGTGCTAAGCACTTTACAAATATTATATCATTGAATCCTTACAACAACCCTGGGAGGTAGATGCTTTACTTACCCCATTTTACAACAGCAACAGTAACTATAATAATTGCCAACATTTATGTAGCACTTACTATGTCGAGCACTGTCCTAAGTGCTTTACAATTATTATCTCATTTGATCCTCAAAACACTGGGAGTTAAGTGCTTTTATTATCACCATTTTATAGTTGAGGAAACTGAGGCAGATGTCAGTTAAGTGATTTGCCCAGGGTCAAACAGCTAATAAGTGTTTAAGGCTATATTTGAACTTGGGTCTTCCTAACTGCAGGCCCATTGTATCATCTGACTGTGTTCTAACAGTAAAGAGGCAATAAAGAAGACAGTAAAAGTGCAATTAGAGGAGAACCATGAGAATACAGTCTCTCCAATTCAAGAAAGGAGAACAACACACAGAAAGGGATTGGGAGAGTGGTGGGGCAACAGATTCAAAAGCTATAGGAAGAGCAAGGAGAATTAGGACTGAAAAAAGTTCATTAGATTTGGTAATTTACGTCATTGGTTTTTAGTTGAATGATGGAAAAAGAAGTCAGATCTTAAGTGGTTAAGGAGAAAATAAATAGTGAGGAAATGAAAATATCCTCTTTGTATATAAGTATGCCTGGTTTTTTTTTTTTTCCAAAAGTTTCATAGAAGGTATTAAGAATCACAGTTTTTTAGCAAGTTCCTTGTCCAGTGACCCAACTAGTCAACATATTCCTAGGAAAACTTGAATCATGTAAGCATTGGTATTCTTACTGTAAGTGAACTCAGAAAATAAAAGAAAGTTGCAGCTGAATTAAGAGAGGTTAACAGGTTCTCTTTGAGGAGGTATACATTAAAACAGGTCCAACTGCCCTACTTTAAATAATCTCTGACCCTGTAATGGAACATTAATATAGGAACAGATGTCAACATCAACAATCACCATTTCTTCTGGAAATTTAACCAATGTAAGACAATCACCACAGTGTGGAGAGCAAAAGAACTTCATACTGCCTTGGTTACCAAACCCTGATCTTTTTTCACTTTGGAGGAAGAGGCAGCCACCAATAGCAGTGGTTTAGGATATAAAGTCATTACAAATTACACAGAGAAGGGAGTAGATGATTATGAGTAGTATTTCCCATGAAGCATCCAGAAGTAATTAAGGGAAAAAATTAATTTGCATAAAGCTTGGTGTGAGACCAAATTAAGCACTTGAGCACTTAAGGATACAACTGAAAGGACAACAAATGGGGAAAATGGAAGATATTTATTAAGACTTTGATAAGCTATATTCTCCATCAATGTCAGTAGAACTACCAATATGATATCTTCATTGTGCTTCATAATGATGTAGAGAGAGAACTGGTTCAAAACTAAAACAAAAAGATTAGAACAGCTAGCCTAGACCAAATATGCACAAGTGAGGTCCATCCTAGAGCTGACAATTTTGAGGGCACTGGGGGATTCATTCTTAAGGTATCTGAAAAGGCTGGAAACTGAATGGTTAGTAAATATCAGGAACAGTATTATTAGAGTGAAAAAAAAACAGGTCGTAGTGAGGACATCAGTAAATACCAGTCCTTATGCCCTCTATCCCATTTTTACAAAGTCTTCAAAAAATGTCCTACAACCAGTGTCATAGACTTGTATTCTGTAGCTTTGTATCAAGGACATCCTTGATTAAAGCATAGGCAGAGAACAGCTAAGGTTTTTTTTTTAATTGATTTAGTAAAGCAAAAAGCATCCCTAATGGATCCCCAACAAGATGTTTCCTGTGCATGTTTTAAGATCATACAAGATTCCTTGAAAGATGTAACAACAGAGATAGTATTGCTTAAGTACTCTTATTAATATCAATCCGAGCATGAGAGAGATGTGCTTGCCAAAGATGTCATTGCAAAGTTCAAATAGATAAAGAATTCTCTATTCCTCCAGTTGTTTCTGTTTGTGAATGACTTTGTGCTAATTGCATCAAACTTCAGAACACTGAAGAACCTAATAAATTATGATCCCCAGTCACTCAAGAGTTCAGCATAGACATCTGGTAAGACACAGAGAGAGTGGTGTGAGCCGGAGCATCAAAAAAGAGCTTCAGACCAAATGAAATCAATAAATCCAAAAAGAAGCTACAGTTAGTGTCTTTATTCAGCCCAGGTTTGCACAAAGGCACAGCCTAAAGCCTTTTGGAAAGGAAAGGGTTCATCCAGAAAGACCAGAGCCAGTGCAGAGGTCCGAGGCTGGAGTGCACCAGTGAGGAAGCCCCAGGGCAGCCAGACACTAAGAGCTACAGCTCTCACCCAAGACATGGAGGTGGGAGCTAGTGAATCTTAAACAGAAAAAGATAGATAGACCCTGACACCCTAGGGGCACTAAAATTTTGCAACATGCTGACAGCTGAGAACCCTGAATAACATAGTACTCTGTACTCAGA